TTTTTTTGGAATAGTTCCCTCTTACAGAATTTTTAAAATTTTCTTTTTTGAAAACATAAAAAATTTCACCGCAGAGTTTTTGATTATTTTTCAGTTTGAATATTGAAATTTTTGAGGACAAAATTTTCCTTTTGCAAGATCTACGTATCTAGAGTGCGCATGTGCTCAAGAAACACTGTTTCAAGCCTCCGTAAATGATTATTAATAGGGCAAACATTTTGAAGAAAAATCATAAAGTTAAAAAATGTTTCTAGTTTTTCTTTAAAATCCTAAGCTGTTTTTATAATCAAACGAATATTTCAGCATATAATGTCACTATTAATTAAATTTTAGTTGTATTTTAAATGGAGTTAATATATCCTTCTTCTTTCTATCTCATCTGCAATATTATTTCTGGTTTAAAGTGTCAAAGTGTTTTGCAGACATCATGTCTGTATTTGACTTTCATAATTATCCTAGATTTACTATCATATTAATTTCCATTGATTTTTCAAATAAAGTGTTCTCTGTCTTTCTTTCTCTCAGAATTACTGTCAACACATTTTAAGACTCATTCCAGTACCCCTTTCTAATCTTTTATACAATATACCAGAAAAAGTTCAGCTGTTAATTTTAAACTTAAGTATTAAATTAGAATTGAATGTTAATAGATTACATACAGTCTCTTATCATTATTAAATTTTTGTTTATTTTTGCTGAACAGAGTCAACCATATGAGTTCTCAATAAATGTTCGATTAATGGGAGATGAAAAGAGGTTTGGTTTCTCAGTAATGGGAGGAATTGATGAAGGGTTTCCTCCAAGAATTGACAACATTGTTAAAGGTAAAACCGAGTGCCAAAACAATTAATGTTCCCCATAAGTGGGAAAAGTATTGTCTGTGCTGATCTTTTGTTATTCAAATGAGGTATTTGCTAAATAGTTTGCGGTACAAAATACTAATAACTTTTTAAATATTGAGATGAAGAACTCTTGTACTGAAGGGGATTAAAGTTCCATTATTCAAGGGGAAGGAAAATTGAATAAGATCTAAAAAATATTCTATAAGTCTAATGAAAAATCATGGTGATGGGGGTAGGGTTATCTTTGTTTCAGTGGTGGAAATTGTTTGACGTATTTTCCCCCTTTCTTAGAATTCATGGGGAAAAAAGTGAGTTGTTGCATTGTATATAATTAAGTTTTTACTTTGTAATTTTTTTCTGTAAGAAAAATTTCTTTATGTAAATGATAAATTATTCTTCTACCCTAAGGTTCCCCTGCTGAAAGAGCAGCTCTGTGTGTTGGGGATGAATTACTGGAAGTTAATGGAGTGCCATTACTAACTCTTACTCATATGGAAGTGATTTCTGCAATCCACAAGGTATAATTCATGCATGATGGAAGGATACATGTGGGTCCATAGCAGGGGGGGAGGGCTTGGCTGCACCCCCTCCCCCCCCCCCTCAATAATTTTGTTGTACTTTATATTGAACACTGAAAATTTTAGGTCTGTTACTAATACATAAGGCATTTCAAGACACGCATATCCAACCATTGCTTAGTGTTTGGATCAAATATAATTTTTACCCCCAAAAACACTGTCCACAATTACTTACATTTCATATATTTTCTGTTCATAGTGCCTTAAGAATAGAGTGATAGCTCTAAAGTTTCTACGAGGAGGAGAAAGTAGCATGCAAGGTGAGTTCAAGGTCAATTTTGAAATTGAGGCTCTCGGATATGTGATTTCCAGGGTTTTGAGTGGCAATTGCAACATATTTATTGCATGAAATTCATATTTAAGTATTAGGCAGCTTGTGTAACAGAAAATCATTTTTGGCTAAAAATGTATGTGTGTGTGGCGTGTGTGAGTGGGCTTAGCCCACCAAGCCATCCTGTCTACACGGTCCCTGGCGAGGAATAATGCATGTTGGACAAAGAATAAGTATAGAAGCCTTGTCTTTTTGGAATAAAGTCAAAAAAGAAACAGAGAATGGTGAATATAAGGTATTAGGTACTTATAGTGCCACTTCCTTTTTGTGTGTTTTTACAGGTGGATTTTCAACATTTTTGGATAACTCTACACCAGTCAATGGAGAAGACAAAGTGGACCCCACCACGCAGCAAAGAATACATTCAATAATGAGGGATCAAGAAAATGACCCACAATTCCACTACTACAACTCAGATGCCGAGACAAATAGTGTTCAGTCTTATGAGCAAGTCCCGCTAGACAGCTCTTCAAACTTGAGAAATTCTAACAACTATGAGGACTTAATTGTAAGCCCAAATAATGGCGGATTCCTTAATGCGGATGCATTGCAATCGAACTTGAGAAAAAATAAGTCATTGTCAACTGCTGTACTGGATTTGAGGAAGTTAGATACGATTGATGGTGATGAAGATCAAATGATGAGTCTAGAGAATGATGCGTATGATTATGATAGTAATGAGAGTTCCAATACGCCTGGTAAGTTAAAAGCATTTTCAAATAAAAACGTTTGTCACTTCTGATACCTACAAACATACCGAAGGTCGTAGCTTTTTCAATAGAGAGTTTTAGATTTACGTTCACGGCAAACGTCAGGACATCAAACGTCAGTTAACCAGTAAAAAAAATTCTTTTAAATTACCGAAAAAGAATCACAGAAAAGTCCAAGTAGTAGAATAACGAAAGAGTATTTGCGCTTGGTGAGAAGGTTTGTAAAAGGTAAAGTAAAATAAAGGAAAACTATGAAAACGTGGTCACGTTTGCCGTTTGCGGGGAGAAAAAAGTCAATCCAAAACTCTCTAATCCGTGTTTTTTGCCGTAAATTTGAAGGACATTTCCACATTTCAATAGTTCTTTTGTTATATCGGCAAATCAAATCTTTACGTCTTCAATTTTCATATAAAAAGTGCTATAAAAGCATTTAAAAATGAAAACGTTTGTCACTTCTAATACCAAACTTACCGAAGATCGTAGCTTTTTCGATCCATGTGATTTCCGCCGTAAATTTGAAGGACATTTCCATATTTCAATAGTCCTTTTGATTTATCGGCAAATTAAATCTTTAAATCTTCAATTTTCATATAAAAAGTGCTATATTTGTCTAAATATTTGCTGGATATCTCGACATCATTTTGAAGAGAGCTTGCTTTCAGCCATTTTGATTTTAAACTCATTTTCGCGCCTTTTTTCGACGTGGACGACGTGACGCGTTCGCGTATGCATCAACAAAAAATGGCGGGAAAATTGAAATGTTGTCCTACTGTGTTTTACCAAAAGAGCATAAATTTATGCTCTCTTGGTTGTTCCTCTTGGTTTTACCAATTTGCTGGGGTTTTGCTGTAAAAAATAAACGTGAATAATTTGGGTTTTTATCAAGAATCCCAAAAGTCGCTACATCTGGAAATGAAATGATGCCACTCATGTGTTCATTGACCTTCATTTTCTTGGAGATTTCATGAAGACTGTGATACAAAATAATGCAGCCACAGAACTGCAAAAGCAAATTTCGATTCCCATTAGCACATTAAGCTACAAGCAGCCAACAAAATTTCTTAGAAGGAAAACACACCGCTGTCGACAACAAGGTCTACCAGTACTGGAAGGCAGTTCGGCCAATGAACGCCAAACCGCATTTCTGTAGCTTTATTTAACCAGTGCATGTTCACGCAATATTTGCAATGCCTTTTCTTGCTTTTAAAGCCAGGCACTATTACAGATGTAGTGTATTTGAAAATATTATTGTAGTGATAAATTTTGAAAATGTAGCAAAACCTCAATTCCTGATTGACTAATTGTATTTATTTTTCATTTAGTTCCTTACGAACCTCAACCAGTTTCACCTGCCAGCGTACATTCTCTCTCAACATTTTCGCCAAATAAGCCAGTTACGAAAGCGAAAGGATTTGACAAAGTAAAACCTAAAATATCATCAAGGAACGACAAGGAAAACGTCGTATATGTAGAAGAATATTTAGCAAATAAAGATGTCAATAATGCAAAAAAGGTAAGAGTTGACATCAAGTGGACATACTTTTTTAATACGTTTTTAATCTCAAAAAGAAAAAACTTTTTCTTTGTTTTTTTTTTTAAAGATATATGATAAAATTTTGGAGTTAAAACAAGAAAAAATAGGACCAGGTTATTCAAGACCAGAGTCAACCAATTCAAACAACATCGTGGCTCAGGTAAATCCTCTCTTTTATTTTACCAGCGTGAAATTAAAGACTGAATTTTTGAACCTTATTTGTGTTTCTCTAGGTTTCTACGTCTATATCGAATAGTCATCCAACAAAAGACGAGGAGGAGCTGGAAAGTCTTTTAAATTCTCCTAACATCCAGGTAAAATTTATTTAAGAGGTCCTCTTTGTAACGGTGCGTTTCACTTGGTTTTCTAGTTCAATAGTTTCCGCTCATAATTGTATCATGAAAAGTACTGATCTATCCTACTTTTCAAAAAATGAAGTTAGATTAGCTAGGAAAAAAACAAAAACAAAACAAAAAAACAAAACAAAAAAACACAAAACAAACTAGTAAACTATGTTTACAGTACTAATGCGGTTTAGTTCAAAAAAGCATAATTTTCAATGCGTGGTTGCCTTGCATCCACAATATAACGAACGAAAACGCATACATTTGAAAATGTTCTCCAGAGTGGAGACATACGAAAACGAAAACGTCTATGATTCGCATGCACAAATGACGTCATTTCCAATTGTCATTTCCGAAGAGGTAAACGCTATGAAAACGCTTTGTGGAACGGATTTTTCCATGCATCGTAGAGTAATGTAATATATAAATGTGCATTAACTTTCATTACCTCTCGTGGATCTTTCTTCGTAATTTTATTGATTAGTATTTTGGAAGTATGGTAACTGTGGCTTTTATTGGTCTTTTAGGGTTTGTTGCTAGCTCACGATAGGCTAGCATTTAGGGAGGCTCTGCCTGATGACAACGACGATGACGAAGAAGAAAGAGAGGAATTTCAACGACAACATAGTATGGATGATCAAATATCTCAAATAGAAGACGACACAGTAAAGATTGTCAGTATAGACAAATCTAATGATCCACTGGGTGCAACAGTAAAGAATGAGGACGGGGCTGTAGTGATTGGTCGTATTGTGAAGGGAGGCGCTGCAGAAAAGAGTGGTATGTATCCATCCATCCATATCGATCATTCTATCGGCCATACCCATATTCCGTATCCATCCAGCCATCTTCTCATCCATCCATATCATCCCATCCATTCTTCCATCTATATTCATCTGGCCATCTTCACATCAATTCATCCATCCATCCCATCCCATCCCATCCATCCCACGTATTTATCCATTCATTAAGTGGCGAAATATCTCTGATATATTTTCAGGTCTGTTGCACGAGGGAGACGAAATCATCGAAATCAATGGTGTAAACATGAAAGGCAAAAGCGTTGCGCAAGTATGCGAACTATTAGAAGACATGAACGGGACACTCACATTCCTAGTCATTCCCAATAATCGATCATTCGGGACACTAACGCGCCAAGGAACGGTGCACGTCAAAGCACACTTCGACTACGACCCTGATGGGGATGAACTCATCCCGTGTAGAGAACTGGGTCTGGCGTTTAGGAAAGGTGCTGTGCTGCATATCGTTAATCAAGATGACCCTAATTGGTGGCAGGTAAATGCACTAGTTGTTATATGATCAACAAAGTAACTGACGTGCACAGACTCTCTCATTCATCTCATAATAACACACAGGGCTTCCACAACTAACACTATAGTTGTATTTCACTGAGTATTAGTTGTGGGAATCCTTAATGTTATGGGATTACTCTATTTACTCAACTCACTTGTACAAATTCCTTCACGCATTCTATAATAACACACAGGATTCCCACAACTAATAGCCATATATTTTTTGTAACTTTCCAAGCAGTGTGTAACTTCCCCCAAGCAGTGTTCTTTACAATATTAAAAATTAGTATTTTTGCACAAGTGAATATAATAAATCAGGCGTGCTCAATGGTTAAAACATAGGTCTTATGCTGTTATATTCACCTACAGGTGAATATAGCGCGCACTTGCACGCTCGTCATTGGTTACAATTTAGGTCTTATGCTGTTATATCATTCACCAACAGGTGAATGTAGCGCGCACGTGCACGAAAAACAACTCTCTCTCCGTTATATATTAAATTCACTTTTGTTGAAAAATTTAAAAAATTGTAATGTCAGTATATTTTTTGCTTGTAAGGCATGGAGGGCTGGAGAAGAAGGGCAAAAGCTAGCAGGCCTCATTCCATCAAAAACATTCCAGCAACAGTAAGTATATTCAAAATATTGTTCTACACATGCTTGCATCCTGTAGGAGGGTCATGAATTTCTTACGGAACGAAAATGGAGGAATTTTACTGCTGATCCCCCAGACCTACCTACCTCCATTACAAACGTACCTTCCCTAACGTGTTTACTTCAATTTCCAGGAGAGAATCTCTCGAGCACACGTTACCAACAGAGAAGGAATCAACTACGAAAAGCAGTAAGATAAACAAATTTCGATTCATTGTTGCAGATCTCCCCCTTGATTTGAGTTTTTCCCTTGGATTTTCTGGTTTTTCTCCCTCCGCAAAGCCTAACAGGCTAAATTCCAATTCAATCAACTGACACTCGTCACCTGACTTTGTTCATCTCATAGCTTGCTTCAGGGTATCGATAAAAATAAAATAGTTTTTGCAGGTTTGCTTAGTTGACCAACGCTTACAGCATACGGTTCTTTTCGTGTTGGTTGAATGTCCATGTTAGTTTGAACAGCTTATTTTTCTTGCATCGAAAAGAAAATTATGCGAATGTCTTTCTTCTCACTCACAAACGAATGGAAAGTTTGTTACGAGTTGCAAAATCGCCACTTGTCGTGCATTTCAAATTTAGGACGAAGTGTATGCGCATCTGCAATCTATGGCGATGTAATGAATCATCATCAGTATGTGCGCATCTGCAAATCATTGCATTGCCACAGATTGCAATGTGCACACACTTAAGACAGATTACAGATGCACAATTGCCTCATTTTATGTGCACTTGCAATCTGTGGTAATGTAATGACTTGTCTTCAGGAAAGTGTTCACGTGTTGCTTGGTCTTATCTAGTTGTCAGATTATTTGTTAAAATAAAACTTTAACTTAAATCTTATGTTTTTCGTTAGAGAGGAGATGCTTATGTGTTAAGCGGAAAAAACGAAAGAAGGTTCTGTACAACGCAATGCATAGTGATGGTGAGTTGAGTAAACGGTGATGATGATGATGATGATAATAATAATGATAATAATGATGATGATAATAAATCGTTGTATATTGAATAAATGTCAACAATTTTGGTTTTCTAGGTCTTGAAGTTGATCAAGCTCTCACTTATGAAGAAGTTGCGTTACTTCGTCCAAACTCGTCACGCAAGCGTCCAGTTGTCCTAATTGGTAAGTACGTTGCCTCAAAGGCTCTTAGGGATTGGATACTCAGTGAAACTGTTTCGAGCAACATTACTGGTGACAGGGTTTTAAGCCGATTTTCATTGGACATCATGACATAACGTCATTTCCAGGCAATGCTGCAATTCGTATTCACGCGATAAAATTGGTTGGGTGTAGTTGAAATGCAGAAATAAATTTTGATGCTGCTTCCGCAGCGTGGAACGTTGCTGCTAAGAGTTGCAAAGATGGACACGTGCAATTTTGTGGTTACAGGCAAAGTTAGCTACAGGCGTTTTTAATGTGGTACCTCTATTGGATGGTAAAACAAACGGAAGTTCACCATGATTTTGCTACATCTGACTAAATAGTTTAAATAGTTTTAGCTTATTTGGCGAATTAAGTATTCAGTATTTTGCTTATGAATTATAAAATATAATAATCTTTTTTTTAGGACCGACAAAAATAGGAAGAACAGAACTCAGACAAAGACTTCTAGAATATGACCCTGATCGTTTTGTTGGAGCCATACCACGTATGTCGAAGAATATTACTTTGGAATTTTATTGTGTGTGCCAATTATTTTTTCTTCGCCTTTTTCTTCATTCTCTCCAATGATGACGCAATTAGCCGTTCCGAAGTTGAGGAGCATACTGGGTCGAGTTGGCACCAGGGCAGTTTTTATGGGAACAAAATAGATGCCATCCCCTCAAACAACCCCACAATGCATTGCAATACCAACTCGACCCAGTTTATGCCTAAACTTCGGAACGGCTAATTGCGTAATTGACTTTATTCTTTAGTGTTAATTATTATTAAGCGCATTGCCAAACATTCGGTTTACGTTGGATGCAAATCTTTTGTTATATGAAATATCAATTGCGTTAAAGGTGCCTTACGTTTTTTTACGCAGTGTTTGAAGGTACAGATATTTAGTCGCCATTTATACAAGGGGTAGGGATATACGGGGGGGACGCGTCTTAGCTTATAGAAACTGCAGTACATGAATTCTTCATTGCGCAAAAAGCGCCTTACTTGAAATGCGCGTTCTGAGAAATGTACCTAAGTTTAGTGCGTGGAAACAAATTGCGCAGAACCCAGTAAGACTTGAGTGAATTCCGGTATTTAAGATGTGCTTACTTTTAACGTGCTCGTTATGCGCAGCACACAACGAAGCATCTAACAATTGAAAAAATTCGCATTGCGTGATAGTTATGGCAATTGAAATATGCCAATTGCTTTCTATTAATCACGCGACTTTTTGGAGTTGACCGGGGACAAACAAGAGGTTGACTGAGGGGCAACTGGCGGAAGTTAATGCAAAACAAGTCAAAATAAGTCGTTGTATTTGACTGTTTCTACGAAATGAAACCAGAAAACAAGAGATCAAAACCACCTCCAAGATTCTATTGATAGCAACCTATAAGAGATACGTATACGCTATCCACACAATCTAACACCGAGAAGTTCGGCAATGTTCAAAAAATGACGCTTTTTCCTGTTTCTTCACCAGATACAAGTCAACCATTGCGTGATGGTCACATTAATGGACGCGATTACCACTTCGTAACGCGGCGAATATTCGAATCTGAAATAGCTACTAATAAGTATGTAGAACATGGAGAATATAATGGCCATTACTATGGTATGAGCGTGGATTCGATACGAGCGGTGATGAATAGTGGTAGGATCGCCATTCTGAACTTACATTGTGCGGTAGGTATAGCTTTTAGATTTACCTTCGTCATCGCCATTATTTATGTCTTACATGCACTGACGCGCATTAGCGTAGGGAGGGGGGCACGGGGAGGGACACCAAAATGTGATTAATTTATGTGGGATTCCTGTGGATTTGGAGGGAAAATGATAATTTCGCCTCCCCCTCCCCCCCTATAATCACGAAGCCTCGCTGCCGGCGCATCTCAAACTACTTTGTTTGGCTTCACTATAACCTATCATATTATATGCATTATACACCGACGCAGCTCCAACTAGTTTACTCACTAGCTCCCTTCTTATTCCACGTTTTTCACCTTACCTATAACCCATCATAGTATCACATTGAACAGTTCTATAAAAATGTTTGGTTTGCCCTTGTTTTGGTGACAGGCACTAAAAAGGTTGAGATCCTCTGATGTAATGCCATACGTTATTTTCATCTCACCGCCGTCTTTTGAGAGAATCAAAGCTGTACGGAGAGGAAAGGTCGATCCATTTAACCCCAAAACTCAAAGATTACTAACGGTAAGAACCAAGATTACGAAAGATGTTTTTTACTTTTTTATGTTAATTCTTTTTATTTTTTATTTTTTATGTTTTGTTAACTGTTATTATTTATTATTTTTATTATTTATTATTTATTAACTGTAAGTTATTGCCAAGGCAACCGACAATCCGCGCCAAAATTAGTTGATACTTTTACCGTATCACCCCCCCCCCCCCCCCCCCCCAAAAAAAGAACAGCAAAGACAAAAACAACAAAATTTTTTGAAAAAATAATAAATTTACGCTTTAAACGATTTTGTTTAGGATCTTGAGTTACATACAATGATAGACGAAGGACGAGAGATGGAAGAAGCATTCGGGCACTACTTCGACTACACAATCACGAACTCCGATTTAGAACGAACATTTAACGAGCTTCTACAACAGATCGATAAAATTGAGAGAGAACCTCAATGGTCGCCAGCTTCATGGGCCAAATAACTACCACTGTGTGGCAAGTACGTGGAATTAACAGGCACCCAAGGAATTTTGACTGGTAAAGCATGGGTACGAGGCTAAGAGGACAAATTACTCTTATTCTTTGTCCTTAAGCCTCGTGTCAGTGTTTATCATTTTTATATAAGATATCAGTAAACGCGATAAGAAACCGACTTGTTATAACTAACGAAAAATTGTTTATTCTGTACAAAGGAATTTTGCAAGAAAATGAAAATATTAGAAAATTGAGAAGGATTTTTCGATTGATTAAAGCTAAAATTCAGATGTAAAATTTTTCGCCCTACGATTTTGGAAATTGGAATATATGGTAATTATAAGCTTATTTTTTCTTTCGGTGATTATATTTCTAATGAATTTATACCACCACGCAGTATCTAAGAAAGAAAGCTAGAAATCTCGTCCTTGGAGCCTGCATTCCTCCTGTTCAGCAGCTAGGAGAAACCGATCCTCGTTGCTGACCATGAGCACTGCAGTCTCAAGAAACGAGCTGGAAAAATTAAGATTAATAAATTAACTTTGTATTTTTACGTAAAATCTTTATGGCTCATTGCGCATTAATGGCCTTTTTTCTCGGGTTAGAACATTTAAAAAAAATACAAAGTGAATCGCCCTATTTTGTCTAGGAACTTTGGGGCATTTCTTTTGTATTTCCCAATGTCGCAGTAAGAATATAGTTCAAAGATTTATATACTGCCCAATCGCGGTAAAAGGCCTGAGATTATTAGCCATTCCGAGGTTGAGGAAAAACTGGGTCGAGTTGGCATTGTGGTGCATTGTGGGACTGTTTTAGGGAACATTTCCAAGATGGCGTCTATTTTGTCTCCTTAAACAACTACGATACCAAACTTGACCCAGGTTTTTTCCTCAGCCTCGGAACGACTAATATTTCTTTTCCTTCTGGGACTCTTTGCATGAATACGTACTTTTCCATTTTAAGTCCAAAATAGACACCTTGATTGGGTATCAGGACAGCTCATTTAATACTCCCATTTTGTATTCGCCTATGCTCAGTCTTATCCTCGATTGTGTACACAATTATGTTCTTTTCGTTTATTAAAGTTCATTGTATGTAAGGAATGTACCAACTACGGAACAATACAAGTTGATTAAAATGCCACAGATTTTGGTTGCATAGCTGATTATTTTATCGCACAACCGAGGCTAAGGCTGAGCAAAAGAGAACTCAAAACTGGAGTGATACAATAGAACGAAACAAAAAAGAATACAATAGGTTTGTGGTACATGCAGAAGGACCCCAAATATGGAAGAGAGCACTTAAACTATTTAGGGCCTGTTTCCTTGAAGGTAGGTACTAAGAACAAGTCCTTGGCTTTTTCTTCCCGAGGACATTACCAAAAGCAAAAGACTTACCCAGGAATCAGGTTCGCCTTACTTTCACGTAAATGGTGCCTTAAGGTGATGTTACACGAGAGGATTTTAAGCAAAAAAACTATTGCTTCAAAGTTAGCCTCGAGCGCGCCGCTACACGAATAGTCCCCTTCACAGTTCCCTGCGGCATCTTGAAAGGTAGCCGGGCCTTTGCATCGAAGCGAGACGAACGGTGAGCTTTCAATGATAGAGACCTTTTTAACACCTTGGACAATTATTCACAGGTCTCTATCATTGCAAGCAAAGGCCCGGCTACCTTTCAAGATGGCGCAGGGAACTGTGAAGGGGACTATTGATGGCAACGAGATTGTGAGTTTTGAAGGCTGGAACATAATTCCGTTAAAAAGCGTAACCGCGCGTCATTTTACACGAAAAAAAGGTTTTCGCGCAACAATCGTCGTTGGGAATCGCCTCGTGAAAGAGCACTTTACCCAAAGTTACTCAAAGAGTTCTCTCAAAGTCGAGGGTAAAAGCTAGTAAATTTTGAAGTCGTTACGGCGGCATCCACTATCATATTCAAATATACATTCCATAATATTATGTTCATTTATATAACGCAAGGCAAAATTAAGCAAACTGAAATCGGTTTGAACCTGCAAAATATCAACTGTTATATTTCAGGAAAATCTATTAACATATTTTTCGATTGCACGTTACGTCATCGCGGCCATGTTGGTGCCCTTCAACAAAAGATTTCTCATTAGCATCCATTGTTAACGGCACCACAATGGCCGCCATGCTTTTGTCTTTAAACTCTCTTGGGAATGCTTGCAACCCATCAATTCTTTATGTTTTGGTGATTTCCGTTTTCGACTATACCCCATGGAAAGATTAAAAAGTATGCCAAATGAAATGTTGGCAAAATTTCAAAGACGTGCTCTTTCCCACATTTCCCAAAGGATTCGTGTTTGTTACTAGTCTTACTTAGAGCCTCGAAAAAGAAAATTTCATCGCTCTTAAGTAAAATTCAAACCGGTTTCTTATCGAGACTTTATTATTGGGATTTCATAACATTCTTCGTTTTGGTCGAGACTTTATTTCTTGGTAAAAAATTGATTCCTTTCAAAATCCTTATTCATTAACGTTATTTCTTACTTTGATTGGTTTATCGTATGCTTTTTGCCTTTTCCAAAGCCTGCATTCCCTTTGGTCCGCGGTATAAGAACCGGAAGTGAATTACTGCGAAGACACACGGAACATGGGCTTTGAGAATCAAACCAGCATTTTTATTCCTATGCTTAATGTCATTCACAACATTATCGTAATATATTCCAATGTTTATTAAACACACTCAATGCTTTTTAATAATATTTCTGAGGTATATTTCTGCAGCTCTACATTGTATGATTGGTCGATAAAGCAATTATTTTCTATCGCACTTCTGCATTAGTGATTTAGTGACAAATGCTCCGATGTAGGACGCAATAGACCCCGTGCATGTGACGTCAAAGCAGCTCAATTCAGAGGACAAAACAAATTTCAATCTCCTGAGAATTGGAAACCTGTTGTTTTTCCTCCAAATTAAGCTGCATTCCGAAGTGCTGCAAGGGGTTTGTAGCCTGCGTTGATTGGTGATTTGCAGTTGTTCCCCCTTGCAGCAAAAAATACCACAGACCTCCAAGCAACGCAGGCGAAGGCGGCGGCTAAACGATAATTCTAATGCAGTTGTCTAAGGAAGAAAAGTGCAATCGACTGGAATTGGTGGGCATCTTTAAAAAATTGTTTTGCCGCCGCAAAAATTACCAAAAAAAAAACACCAATGCTGATCTGAATTCGACTCGAATAATAGATGGTGGTGATGGCAATTTGATTGCTCACTAGACTTGACAGGTGCACACTTCTTAGCTTCTGTCAAGATATTAGTCAATAACCGCGTATAAAGCACGCATCATGATCGTACGATTTTTCCACAAAAAGGCCCATTATTTTGGTCCTGGCATAGACATGGGGCATTACCCAACACCGTAGAAACGTAGTTGCAGTATTTAGTATAGTAGATATTTTTATACCTAGCATTGCCGTACACGACGCAAAAAGAGATATTTATGTGCATTTCTACAATCTTTTTTTATACATATCTAACAGCATATAGTTTACAAATGCGATTTTCCATTTATTAGATAAGATTGGGTAGTTTGAGCGGAGCTGTGGCTCCTAAATGGCTTCCGCTTTAGCTATTAACCAATCAAAGGGCGAGAACGTGGCCGCGTAGGACAGCAGCGAAAAGAAAATGTTATACACTGACAGAAGCAGAGTCAACCTTACGCAAATAGATTTTAATAAAAGGAAGTATGATTTGATATTTTGACAAGTTTACTGAAATTACTCTAACACGAATTTGGAGAGAAATAGACGCCTTGCAGCACTCTGGAATGCAGCTCAATCTGGGGGACAAAACATACTAGGTTCCAATTCGCAGGAGTTTGGAATTCTTTTGTTTTGTCATCCAGAACGAACTGCTTTGACGTTACATGCAATGGGTCTATAGATAAATAAATGAATGCCACTTGAATTTTAAAAAAATTAAACCACTCAAGTAATCACAGAGAAAGTGAGTAATAAAAACTTTTGTCACACATTACATTCCTGTGTTTGTTTGCTTGTATTTTAGATGTGTTTTCAGTATTGATTGTACATGAAGTGAAAAGTTGAATCTTGAAATATTTCTAGATTTGAGCGTTGCTTCTTTTAGATTTCAATACTATCAATAGACCCCTTGCAGCATGTCGGAATGCAGCCTTTGGAGGACATAACATAGGTTTCCATTTTTCATGAGATTGCAATTCTTTCGTTTTGTCCTCCAAATTGAGCTCTATGAAATGGGTCTATATCGTTTTAAAATGACATTCTTTCGATATGGGAGAGAAAGATGCAATGTATCGTTAGCAGTAGTACAGTTATCCCGCCAGGCTTTTTCCATCCATGCGGCACTCAACAAAAGCTCCCAGACTTCACTGATGTGTACTGTGAGTTGAAGGCAGCAGAAAAGCCGTAATAAATGGAGAAGACTAGAAATGAAAGGAGGGATTCAAAGAAAGAGAAAAGATGAAAGATGTCAACAACAAAATCAAGAGTTAATTCAGTACCATAAATAATTACAAATAAAGTTTTAATGCCCTATAGTAAAGACCTCTTTTCCATCACGAAACTTGTTTTTAAATGGCAAAGAACGTCCTAAACGAACAAACAAGAGAAAAGAAAGAAGTTCTAACGAAGGTAATTTGACAGGAAAAATTTTGATGGGTCAACGAATGATATGCAGTAACTCTATACTTGACGCTTCGGCTTCTAGTAAATCTGTAGGACTTTTGTGACCCGGGCCAACAAACCAACGGCGCAATAGCAATTCAGTCTTACCATCAAAATGAGCACTTCATATGGCATAAAGCTGTTCGTTGCACCTCTTTAAAACATCGATAACTCGCCAAAGAAACTGGAACAACGTGAAATGATGAATGGAAGACACCAGAACTCCTTGGAAAATAAGGTTATCAAAAAATTAAGAGTTTGGCGTATGTGTATATTGTTGGCTGTAGTAAACGTTATGATCATTGTCATCATTTTCTTGGCTTATCGGAAAGATGCTGTCAACCAGGATCGTACAAGGACGACAATTGCACCAACGAAAATAAATACAACGGTAACTACAAATCAAGTTGGATTTTGAGTTCTTCCTTGAACTGCTCGTCACTTTAAAGCCTGAAGTCATCTTTTGAAAGAGAAGAAGAAGTTAGAGCGAGTCTGAACAAACAGGGGTCAATCAGCAAAGGAGAACAAAACGCCGAGAAGTATACATCGTTTTTCCAATATTCTGAGAAACGTACCCTCCTTTATGAACAGGTTTCATTCTTAGGCGTTTTAAAAAACGAAATTTGCGAAATGCCAGTCATCGTCACCATCAGTTCTGAGCCAAGTTTTAAAATGTCATGCAAGCAGTGCAGTATTTTGGTCGTACGAGGAGCCAAGCAAAAAATAATTAAATAAATGTAGTATCTCATAAATTAAAACCGTTATGAAAGGGTTAAGTTAAATGAACACCGTGACAAAAACAGTCAACAAACTTCAAAATTTTAATTTTGATACATTAATATATATATAATTCATTTAAAAGCTAAATTTCATTGTTTCAAGCTTTTCTCATAAGCTTTGACAAGGTTTTCCCTCTCTTCATTGGAAATAGCATTGGGTCTATTTTGTCGTATTCTTTGGATTGCTTCTTCAGCCTTTAGTGAGTCAGCTTTGACAGCATAACATGCTAACAGAACACTTGCACGACCTTGTCCTTCACCACAGTGCAGAGCAACACTCTGGAAATAACAAGAAAATTTATCCTCTTATAATCGTTTTCAACGAAACAGAGATAGCAATACGACCATCTGGATATTAGTCATGAGTGCCTTGGGTCAGTGAGTAGAGTTGCTCGTTGATTCCGTGAGTGGTTTCTGAGGGTTCTCCGGTTTTCCTCCCTCCGCAAAATGTCCTTTCGTCCTTTCGACACTGAATGAAATAGGGGCACTACTACTGAAATTTCAATTCTTGTCCATTCTGGCCCACCCTACCCCCCATTGAGGATCATGGATTTTAACGCCCCTAGAATTTCTTCTTAGGCTTTCCTCATGCATCACCTCGCTGAGTTAGCCCGAGGTATTTTAATTTTAATTTGAATATTAATGTAGCAGTTTACATATAAATATTAGTTATTTTAGAAATTTTGTTATTCATTTGTTAAAGGGAGGGTTGGCAGATATATTTTTGAGATTTTTAAGATAATTCTATTAACAACAATAATCTCCACTCTATATTTTATAATCATATTTATATTTAAGTATTTTACATGTTAAGAGGGCCACAGAGTCATCGCTTAGAACACTGTCACGTGCTACCCTTATGTCACGCAATAGTTTGAATAATATAGATATATATCAAATTTATAAATAGAATTGATGTGTTGGTTCTTGCATGCACATCATGCACAATACTTACACCTCCATTGGCACCGACTTGCTCTACCAGTTTATAAAAATCATTAGCTTGTTCTATTGAATTCATCCCACCATTTTCAACCGGCATATGAACACTCGTGAGGTCAACTCCGTGAAAATCCGGCACTGTCTCTGTGAGCGAGACGAGGTGTGTTACGCCATTATTCTTCAGATATTCCAAATCACTTTTTGCTTTGGGTTTCGACACAGCTGCCAATTCCCCATATTTTAGCCACCAGAATCCTTTAGGGATCTCGGCTGCTGAGCTGTAGAGTCTACGAGCTATTCTAGACACAGAGTACATCTCGATAGCTTGAGCCGTTTACTTACAGATCAGCCTACAGATGGACGTAAAAGAATGGGACCCGTGATAAGTGAGTTAGCTACTTTTGATTGGTTGAGAGGGATCACGTGATATTTTCCCGCGTCTTTCTATGCAGGAATCCAGTATTGAGCATGAAATATTTTTGCTCAAGTCGCTCGAGTTGCTTTGACTTGAAAAGAAAAATTAGCCCTTGAGCGATGATTTCATGCTTCAAAGAATTAAAGAAAGCCCAAGTCCAAAGTCCAGGTATGTTCTTTATTCTTTTCTACGAATATTTTACTAGATGCTTGACTTAATTCAAGCTTATTGTCATCTGTTAGAGAGCGTTACAAGTGTAGTCACGCATGGTCGTAGTATATCTTCTAAAGGCTGAGTATTATATATAAAATAGTCAGTCTTTTCTGACAACTAATGATATAATTTGCGTAATAAAACTTTGCTATGTAACTTGCCCTGATGGCAGTGAATATATTATGAGGGAATCAATGTAGAGAAGAATTTTCGGGAATTTTGACGTTTGATATCGTTTGACAGTTGAAGGAAGTTGAGGGGGAAGGAGGTTGCAGTTGGGGTGTTAAGTGACCATCAAAGACCTAGTATACCACCCCATCTGTTGCCTCATCGGACATGTTTTCACGCCAGATTGTTATGCCGCAAAATGAATAGAACTTCAGGCATTGCAAAAATGATAGAATAACGATTTATATATAAATAGCTGCTCCTTTCAATGGAGATGATAATGATGATAAAAATATAAGTTACATGGAAAACTTTATTCAGATAATGCACATCGAAAATTAGATTTTTCAATTTTAAGTTTAATTTCAAGTTATTACTGTCATAGCATCATCACTTGCATAATTTAATTCAATCCATCTACCTCAATCCTTCTTTTTCTCCCTCCTATGTGCTATTCCATTTCACCTTTATATCATTCCAAAGTGAAATGCAGTTGAGCAAATATCAAACATAAATATCCTTATAAGCATAACTAAAGACTATAACGAGATGAATAAATTTTATTTTTAACAACAGAAAAAAATAAGATAATTGAAGTGAAGTATGAAATTATAATTGTGATAAGAGCTCTATTTGGTTGTATTCTTGAAATTTAAATCCATTAAGAAGAAAATGCTAATTAACCTCAATATACCTAATTTGCGAGTACTGAGATGTATTCGATTACTTTACTTTGAACTTGACAATGGTGTCAAAAGGACACCAAAATGTCATTCTTCAAAAAATATACAATAATATTGCTGTAAAATGTACTTCAAACTATGTAACTCTAAAAAAAGTTTTGTTTTGATGTTTCCACAAAGTTGGTTTAATAATGAACAGTTTGTTTACTAGCAGCCCTAAATAAATCAGTGAGTATCATTTATATTTATACAGTGTTATATATTTGTTATATGAAATATTACCACATCATACTAATGCATATTCACCAATATGATATAGATTCAGGTCCATATATTGCAGATTTTGAATTCTTTTTCAATATAAATAATGAAGTGTACAGTATAAAAGTGTTTAAAAACTCAGCCTTATTTATTCTGATACATTAGTGACAGAATAAACCTGAAGTAATTAGCCTTCTCTGCATGCAGGTAACCTTTGCTATTTGAAACCCCTAATCACTTTAAGGCTTGGGGTCCCAATGTACAACAATGCATGAAGACGATCCCCATAAAGTATGGGAGAGGAAACAGAGCAGGCTTCAGCTAAAATTAAAAAAAATTATATTTTCTAGAATGTTTTAGGGACCATAATTTTGGTAGCCTGTGTAATGGCACTTTGGGGAGGGGGAAGGGAAGGAGGACTGTTAAACACCTCATCCTCTTCCCCTCCCTCCCTCTCCAAAGTGCCACTATGTAGGCTATGTTTTGAGGACCATGGAGTAGAGCAATTTTAAATCTTTATAAAAATATGTTAACTCAAAGATGTGAGGTTAATTATGTCACAGCATACAAGATAAAAAATAAAAGGTTATGCTTAGGAAAATATTAGGTCTGTCCCCCTGGATATATTTTCAGAGATTCATTACAATATAGCCTAATTTGGGGATCAATGTTATTCACATTGTTTTAAGTATTCTGCAAATTTAACTATAACTTTTTCTTGTTCAACGGTTTCTATTGACCCTGGCCTCTTGGATCTCACAGTAGCTATTGCATCTTTTGCACACAGTCTTTTTGTTTCTACTAAGTAACAAGCTAACATTGTTCCCACTCGACCTTTTCCATATTGACAGTGTACAGCTACGGCCTGTAAAAAATCAGATTCATTGTGTTTTTCAGTACTTTTTGTTATGTTTGTTTTATGTATAAATTTTCAAGTTAAGTTTTGTTTGTATTTCATATTTCCTCCCCATTACTTCATAGTATGCAAACAATTAGTTTTAAATTAAAAAGAAAAAGTAAATATTTGATAAGTAAACATAGGGAACTCATTAATGTTGCCATAATGTAAATTCATAATAATACTATCCTTATTGCTAAAAAAACACATATAATTTCAAAATAATGTCATTTCAAAAAATGAAATTTAGGGCAAATGAAAACTAAATAAAAATGAAATAAAAAAAACTCATAGAACCAAAAAAATGGCTTGGGATGCCTGTGATACAGATCGCGTCACATGAAAGAAAAAAGACTTTTTCATGCCAAACTTTACTTCTATCACTTTTCTTGTAAAATCATATACTTAGTTTTACTTTTTGACTTAACATTTTATTGAGTCTATCTGGTTTCATTTGCGTTCGTGAGCGTAAATGGCGATAATTTGATCCGAGCTTCGGCTAGCAGTCGGTAGGTTCTCGTACCAAAACAAAAGGAAAAAATACGGGGTAAAGTACGAGGTCAAAATTCCCTTCTGGAAATGTTTACACCACTAGATAATATAAATACTATCAAAAAAGGATGGAAAATCAAATGGGTAAATTTTACGTGTCTTTCTGGGATTTTTTCTCGCGATGGATTATCCTCAATCCCAAGAGACCCGGCATAGTGGCTCGGAGATCGTGAGCTTAAAAAAATCTAGCACAACTTACTTCCCCTTTGCTGTTTGTTTGTTCAACAATCTTGAGAAACTCTTTGATCTGATCCAATGTCGGAGGAGTTAAGTCAACAACAGGGATATGGCTGAACTTGAGATTGACAAAGCCATCAATGTCAATAGTCGAAGACAGTGGAGATTCAGTCAAAGTGATAAGATGCTGGATTCCTTGGCTCATCAAGTACTGTATGTCAGATTTCGAAGACGGGTATGCCAGACCGGCTAATTTTCCTTCTTCGAGCCAAGAAAAGTTTCTTGGTGGTAGAGATGATGACATTTTTGGAGCGGCGAACCTCGATGTGTACGGCCGGTCTGCCGGGTACCTCGCTTTATTTTCTGTTAATGTATAACCCGGTGTATAACAATGAACAGAGCTAACCAATCCGCGGTGCGATTTTTATTATGATTTCCACAAGTCAGTGAACAAGTGTTTCACACGAAGTAGCGTAGCGTTTAGCAGACCTCCATTCTGGGATTCCACCACGTCACATGAAAGAGGAGCTGGGATGCAAAATGAAATTTTTACGTTTTCTATTTTGAAGTCTTTGTTCCGAAGACGGAAAAGATATAGACACGTGACGTTACAAGAAACAGGGCTCCTCAAACCTTATGTGTCACGCCACCTGTTGTTACTCAAAAACAAAGCCAGCACCAAAACTTATTAGTAAAAGATACCACTTTCTTTTTCATTTTAGCGAAATTCTGAAGTCAATTTGTTCCGAAGACGTAAAAGATGGTGATAGAGACACTAGCCAGTTGCAAGGACCAGGGCTCCTAAGACCTTAGGTGGTGGCTTTTATAATACATTTCGGAGTCACGGGCTAGCTTTGTATTTTGAGTAACAGCAGGTGACGTAACAACTTTTACCGAATAGAATCTACCCATCATCTGCTCTTGAGAATTATTGGCACCACAAATTGTTAGTCTGGGTCTTTAGTGTCAGACAAAAACCTTCAATAAATTGTATCAAAACCCAAAAAAACCTTTATGGCTAACTCCTGACAGATCGAATTGATTTTGCTTGTTGAAGTTAGGTCTTTCGGAGAAAGAAAAACCGGAGAACCTGGAGAAAATGAGAGACCTAACATATTAGAGAGTTTTAGATAGACTTTTTTTCTTCCCGCAAACGGCAAACGTGACCACGTTTGCATCGTTTTCCTGTATTTTACTTTACCTCTTTCATATCTTTCATATCACAAAAAAATTTTCTTTTGTTTTTCTACTACTTGGATTTTTTTGCGATTCATTTTCACTTATTTAAAAGAATTTTTCATTGATCAACTGACGTTACACGTTTGCCGTGAACGTCAATCTAAAACTCTCTACTAGCTCCGATGTACCTGACGTTGAACGCCAAGTCCAGGGATTAAACCCGAAACAACAGAGGTGAGGGGCGAGTGTACCACCACTACACCGCCCCTCGCTGACTAGTTTCCGTTCCTAGTGTTTCGTGCCTGGGCAAAATATTCAAGGCTTATATCAACAGTTACCGCTTTTGTTTCTTAATGGACAAATATTTTATCATCTTGAAGAAATGATTTTTACTCTCAAGCCCCCGCAAGTGTAATTTTTTTCAGCTTGCAAGGAAGTAAAGCCGCTGCAGTCAGCGCTATTATAATACGTCGCCCCTTACTACTGTGAGTTTAATAACCTGTCTAGTTTATATCATATCTCTGAGTAGAGTTACATGCTGTTATTATCATTATTTAATATTTTTTTCCACGCCGTTCTTCAGTTTTCCGTCTACTACGAGAATCATCACTTCCTAAGGGAGACCACATCGCATTGACCCGTTCTGGGTTCCCAACTATGCTGTTATGCTAAACTCCTGTTATAAACGACTTTGCTTTCTTAGTACTTCGAGCACTGCAAGTCTGATACAATTTTGTCCGCCAGGTTCAAGTTCATGCAAGGCCACCTCACACCCTTCAGGCACTGTTTTCTTTCATTAAAAAACCTCGCTGGCTCATTAAGCCCTTAATTTACACGCCCCCATCTTGACTCTGAATTTTTGTCATTGTTGTTGAATTTCATTAAAAAATACTGTTGTCTCCCTTAGCATAAAACAGCTAAGTTCTAATTTCACAAACTGCAATAAAAATACTCCCAACCCCTGCGACTAAAATATAAAATGATTTTTATAGGAAATCTCACGATCTCGAGTACAATTCGGAATTTATAGGTACGAGTGATGTTTTGAGAGTTTTTAAAATTGGACGAGCCTTTAGGTGATTTCAACTTGAGAACTTTTAAGAGAACACGATTATTATCAGTTATTTTCCAACAATCTTTTGTCGGTACCAGGTGTCTGGATAATTTTCAGGATGATTCCACACGGCACTGGTTTAGTCTCTCAAGGCCCTGTTACACGTTGAAACTCTTAGGTGAAACGTGTGTGCAACAGCGTTGCGAGACAAGTTTCAGAAGCAATTGCACCGTGTAACACCCCAGCTTTGTGAAACTTTCGTCGCGAGAAAGTTTCACGAAAAAAAGATCTGCTTTCTACTTCTGCAACCGAAACTTGTGTCGGGAACAAGTCAGGAGGAAATTGCACCGTGCAACACCCCTGTGAAACTTGTCTCGCAATGCCGTTACACACAAGTTTCACCTAAAAGTTTCAACGTGTAACAGGGCCTTCAGCAATAAATAAAAAAAGCTTTGCGTGTTACTTTTGTTTTTATTATTAATAAACTCAATCTTATATATATATATACATATTTTTTGCAGAGATACTTACAAATGTATAAGAAATAATGTTCATATATATAATATAATATAGATAACTTTTCTCCCTTCTAAGAAGGTTATTTAATATTGCCCCTATATTTCCACTTTATATTTCTCCAATCCTGCCCTTTTGCCTGTTTTTGTATTTATTTTGTTATAGTTTTCTTCTATTTATACCACATTGATAATATCAATAATTAATTATTACTATTCAACACTTTGCGTCATTATTTAAGTACTATCGTCAGCGTCGATCCTGAATTATTTTCTCCCAGGCAAAACTTATTTATTGTAGACTCCCAAAACATACTTGGTTAGCATTTCTTTAAAATTTTTATTTTATATTAGTTTGATATTACATCGTTTTTATCAAAATATAATATAATCCGCCTTGATGTGTTAGCCTTACCTAATGTTCGTTCTTCGCATTCTTTCAGTTATTAACGCATTTTCCGGTTCCAACTTACGTCAAGCTATATTCTGTTTACTCGAATAAGTATTACATTCACTTGCAAGAACCTTCCAGTCGAGTTTATTTGGCGAAAACAACTAGGTAATTTTTTTGAGTATAGGTGTATTTTAGCATCATGCAAAATTTGCTATCAATTCAACTGCTCTTTGTATTTTCCGGATCAGTAAAAAAATGTCTGGGGTCTAAATTTCCAGTTTTTAGTCTCAGTTTAGTTCTCCCCTTGATGTTGAATTGAGACTAGCAGTCTTGACATTTTTCCAAGTTGAAACCATAATGGAATATTCTGATCCACCCTAATTATGCTTTCCAGGGTAGGTCTCAACCACGCGATGGAAGTGGTGGTATAGCGACGTACTTCGTTTCGTGTTACATTCCCAGTCCAATATTATTAGTTACTCTCTTCAAGCAGCAGCCATATTGAGTAATTGATATCCCTATTTGCAATAAAAATGAATTTTCCAGTCACCAAAACCAGCTCTTTATCTTGGGGTTTTGTCTGTGACTGTCAACCTGCATTACAGGATCATTGGGAATTCACATTCAAATATTTCTTTTCATGTCGATGCTTGATCTGCCAGCTAAATATTTTGTCAAAGTCAACGACCTTGTCTTGAGTGTAGCTTGCATGAGCAGCAAAGCTCGAAGTAATATGCTCTCCTATGGATACACCTCTGCTCTCATGATTTCAGCAAGCCCTAGTGTTCTCATCTTGAATTTAGCATCCATCCTAGCTATCTATCTCCTCAGTCCACGACGTTTGAGTGGTTTACTATGTTACTTCTCTCGAGGCTGGGCTTGGCCTTCGTTCTAAGGTTCTTTATGTCGGGTTTCCAGCGACACTGATTGAGAAAAGTCAAAGTTCTTAATTCACACAGAAAATAATGGGAAATTGAAATTCTAAGTTCTAACATGAGTGGCCAGTGCAATCGTTTCTGGCCAATGAATTGAATTATATCGTGTTACAGTGAACTTGAAAGCTCATAGTCTGGTCGAACCGAGTCACCTCCATCCTTGGATGTTTGAAGGCCTCGTTCTTTAGGAGCGAATTCGCCTTGTTTTGAAGGATAAAGATCTTCCTTCGACTAGTTGCCGACTATATCCACTGAGCTTCGTCTTTTATAGATGTCCTTGAGAGATGAAGCCGCCGATGAGAGTTGATTCAGCAGAGTGTTCATCTCCCCGACCAAACCAGCTGCTTTTTTCTCTTGTACTCTCATTTTGTCATAATAATAGTCTGTCTCGTCCAAACTCGACCTCTTGGATTTGTGGCAAAATCGCAAGTCGCCTTCTGAATGCGAAGAACGTTTGGAAAACGATCGTAAGTCTCTGAGAGTGTCACTGTTTTCTAGGAAAATATCAGCTGATTCACATCTTCCCGGGACTGTAGGGCTCTGAAGAATTTCTTTGGTTTCTTCGACAGCCGCAATAAATTCATCCAAAGCGTCAAAAATTTGCGCCTCTCCTTGAGGGCATTCCATGACATACATCGAAAAATTGTTCAACTTTCTGTTTCTTGTAAAGTGTTAATGTTTTATTCCGTTCTGGTTGTTCAATTGAGCTGATCGATGATCCTCTAGTCTTCTGCTATAGTTCTAGCAGTCTGTAGGAGGTATAGTAAAACCAGTTTACAAATTAGCATACGCTAGACTGAGCAGGCTAAAAAATAATAGTTTAGTCACGTAGGAGAGTGGTCGAAAGACTGAGCCAACCAATCAGAGAGGTTGTTTTGACCTCAAAGGGTGATAGCTGAGATCTTAGCGTCATCGATATAAATAGACCTGTCAAGGATAAGAGGTGATTTTTCAGGAGCAAATGTTTATACAGTGTTCTTATAAAACTAGATTTAATGTACAACGCTTGTAGTTTTTCACTTAATTGCTCTGGGCGAGGAAAATAACACTTTCTAGACGGAAGTAGAAATCTCAATTCTCGGCTAACCGTGACACAAGAAGATTTTGCTTTTCTAGAAAGTTCGAACCTTTTCATATTTAATGTTCAAATCTTCCGTGATCCTTTCTGGATTGACCTTCACATTTTGTTGACATATCTGGCTCACCATATATAGTCAAAAGAATAATAATTTGATGGATATCTGCAGATTATACCATGCTGTATGGCAAATATTCTCCTCTAGCGCCCCCAAGGCATTCCTCGGC